TCCTGATCCAAGCAAATGCTCACTTTTCTATTGATTGATCTGCGATTTGTGCAGATTATTGGGCTGGGATCTCTTGTGATGATGCCCCTCGTTGGAAATCTATCCGACAAGTATGGAAGGAAGGCTTTGCTTACAGTCCCCATGACTCTCACCATAATTCCTTTAGGTACGCAAAAGCTATGCTTGGTTTTTATAAACTAAATTTTTCTTCCAGTTTGGCTAAGCTGAAATCAATTCTAAGCTAGGGCGCGACAGTAATTTACTAATTAATCACACGACACACGTGTATTCATCAAATTAATATCATGATTTCAGATTGATTATGATAATGGACCATATTTCCATCAATCAATCATATAGTCTTAAAACGTTTGAAATATCTGATACCCTTAGCAGGAATAGGTATCTCCATCAGCATCCAACAACCTCAATGGAAACAGTAATGTTCATTAAAGATGGTACAGTCTATAGACTTAATGTCCGAAGGGACTAAGCAAACATGGAAAGCAAATGGCTTCTTTTTGACTTGGAGGAGCCAGCTTCAAGGCAGTGTCTAGGAGAAGCTTCCTTTCCAACTGATCATAATTAAACCCGTCGATTATCAGCACAATTGAAAATGACAGGGCGATGTAGCATTTATTCGTAAAGTGCTCTTACGTGCTGGGAAATTAAAAACCATACAAAGCTTTCAAATGACGGACGTCCCTTTATTTGGAATCAAGATCCATTAAGCAGAAAATGAAAAACAGGGTAGGAGTGGCAATAAAGCAGTAGCAAGCTTTTGGGTTTTTTCTTTTTCTTTGCCAAGTCAAAAGTGAGTAACTGGATAATTAACTCTAGGATCAAATTTATACCTAGTTGATAAGTTTTGTTTGCGTTTCGCCACGGGCAGATCGTCGGGGCCTACCAAATGGTGCAGGATCATTTTACATTGCAATTGTCCTCCAGGGGAAAAGGAAATGTTTGTAAAATAAAAAGGCTTGATTTTATGATATTGAAATTTTTCGACAGTGGTTGTCCATCATCGACGGCCAGTAATTTTACGTGGAAACTGAAATGACGTATGCTTTCTTTTGGCAGCCATATTGGCTTACAGCAGAACTAGGAGCTTCTTTTATGTATACTACGTGCTCAAGATTCTGACAGCCATGTTCTGTGAAGGAAGCGTACACTGCCTGTCTCTTGCTTATGTGGTAAACCTCTCTTTCTTTTTACTGAAGTTGGGCTCGTTCAGGATATGGGTCAGTTTCATGTCAGGGTTTGTTTTGTCGCTTAGGCTGTTTCTTATCCAAGGATAATGGACATGGGTTTTTGCCCCGTTGGGCCTATCTTATTGATCAGCCCCTAAGCCTGGGATGATGTATTTTTGTCTGTCGGTCCAGTTCCCGCCATGTTTCCTTCCCCTGCCATCTTTAACCAGTATTTTAAATCTCTGAAATTTGGCTTTGGCGTTGGCGTTTTCAGGCAGACAATGTTCCGGAAGGGCGACGAGCATCAGCTTTTGGAATCCTTTCCGGAATCGGCTCTTGTGCATTCGTCTGCGGGACTTTGTCTACCCGTTTTCTCTCAACTGCCTCCACCTTCCAGGTCTCTCTTTTCTCTCCTTTCTCTTCCTCCTTTTCTCTAATGTAAATTCTTTCAAATGAACAGAATTTAATTATTTCTCCTATTAGGTTGCGACGGCAATGGCGATGCTTTCAGCGGTTTACATGAGGATTTTCCTCCCGGATTCGATCATAAATGACAATCTTTCTGCTCCAATACTCTCACAAGGAAAACTCGATGGTGTTGTTAATCCGGATGAGGAGTCAGACAAGAAAATGCAGATGTTCAAAACCATGCCTTCAATAGAAGA